AGCCCACGCAGGTGACGTTAAACGTAAAATAAAATCTTTGACTGCCGGATGCGCACAAAGCCTTTGTGTGCTGGCAGAAGCTGTCGCTTACCATTTATTAGCGGTCAGAGTGATAAAGATGCTCGCTGCTTGCTAGAAGAAACCCCTCCTGCTCCTGGCCGCCCCTCCGCTTCCGCGCCACCGTGCCTTTTTCTCTCTCGAGTGGAGAGCGGCTCCGTGCCAGCTGTGGCCTGGGTAGGCAAGACGGACCCGTTCTCATGAGAATTGGATGACTTTTGGAAATGCTTGGTAGCGCTTACCTCTCTCCTCCTTCAGGTAAATGTGTATGACAGCTCCGGGGGGGCGGGGAGCAAAAAGGGACTTTTTCCCCCAGCTGTCAGCAAAGGAAAGCAGTTTGTTTTCTTGCTTCTCTGTATAAATGTGGCATTTCGACGCTCATCTAAATTTGTATGTAGGTACAGAACTGTCACTGCAGTTTTCTCAGTCGGCGTTGCAATCTTCACGTCGATAGCTAGGCGGGATGAAAAGGCATGAAAATGCGTAGCGCTTATTTAAACGATAGACTAGAAATGCTGTATCTCTTTGAGAAGCTTTTCATCTGTTTGTCTTGTGAAAATGGATTTGTTCTTTGATTGTGTTTTGAGGTTGTGGTGGTTTGGTTTTTTTTGTTTGTCATCTGCTCTTAACGTTCTTATGAATCCTGAGGTACTTTTTATCTGACACCTAGTTCATCTTAGCCTTCTCTACCCCTTGTGCTTTCACACCCTGGCCCGTGGTCAGAAAAGACTGGAAAACGGGCTCTTTGCACCCTTGCTGCTTTAATTTTCTAAGGAGCGTATTGGATTTGTATGCTGAGTTACTTTCTCATAGAAGATGTCTTGGCCACTTGACAGTACTGGGTTCGAGCCTCTGTACTGCACATACGTCACTTTAAAAAGGAGGCTTTCCAAATGCGCTAGGAAGCAAATCTGTTGAGCTTTCTGATGCTGCACATTCAGCCAGAAGAGCGAGAGTTGCGCGTGTTCTTCATTCTGCCGACCAGAACAGGAACCTGGTAGTGTTCTTGCCTGTCTCCAACTTAGTTTTGGAGGCGTTCATAATTGCTTTTGCTAGTGAGACGGACGTGGAGTTCAGTAGCAAGTGAGAAGCACTTTCCGTGACTGGCCAAGTAAGCCTACAGGTTAATACTGGAATTATTTTATTTAATTTTTTTTTTTTTTTTTTTTAAATGGCGTGGGGTCTCCTTTGCATTCCTCATCTATGATGCCATACCCAGACTCTCCCCGTTGCTGGACTTTGGCCAGGTCCTCGGCGTTGCTGTAATCCCCTGCTGAAAGAGATCAGTGCCAGGTGGCTAGGGCAATTTGCGGTTTGCCGTATCGCTTCTGTTTTCGAAAAAAGCATCCCGTTCTTTATTCCTCTCTTGCCCTTGATCTCGTGTATGTGTGTATATATGTACACACGCAATGTTTATTTACACCTTCTGTCTTCTTATTTTAGGATTTCAGATGCATGCCAGGTTCCCACTGAATGCCAGAAGTAGAGATCGCTACAGATGGAGCCCCAAAGTCAGCATGGCAGCGGTGGTTCGCTAGTGGCGATTCAGCAGCCCTCCTTGGACAGCCGGCAACGGCTGGACTACGAAAGAGAGAGCCAGCCGACGACGATCTTGTCGCTGGACCAGATCAAGGCGATCAGGGGCAGCAACGAATACACCGAAGGTCCATCTGTGGTGAAAAAATCTGGGCCGCGGACAGCACCGAGGCAAGAGAAGCATGAGAGGACTCACGAAATCATACCAATTAATGTGAATAATAACTACGAACACAGACCCAGCCACGTGGGGCACGTGGCGCATCAGCATAGCGCCAGGGCTCCCGTCCTGAGCAGGTCCACCAGCACGGGGAGCGCGGCGAGCTCTGGGAGCAACAGCAGTGCTTCCTCGGAGCAAGGTCTGCTGGGGCGGTCGCCTCCATCCAGGCCGGGCTCCGGCCACAGGTCCGATCGGACAATCCGGACGCAGCCCAAGCAGTCGTCTCTGACCGTAGATGACCTGAAGGGTCCTTTGAAAGAGGACTTGACGCAGCACAAGTTTATCTGCGAACAGTGCGGGAAGTGCAAGTGCGGGGAGTGCACGGCGCCGAGGGCGCTCCCTTCCTGCTTGGCCTGCAACCGGCAGTGCTTGTGCTCTGCGGAGAGCATGGTGGAGTACGGCACCTGCATGTGCTTGGTCAAAGGGGTCTTCTACCACTGTTCCAACGACGATGAAGGGGACTCTTACGCGGATAATCCCTGCTCGTGTTCCCAGTCACACTGCTGTTCTAGGTACCTGTGCATGGGAGCCATGGCCTTGCTTCTGCCTTGCTTGCTCTGCTACCCTCCCGCAAAAGGATGCCTAAAACTCTGTCGAGGGTGTTACGACCGCATCAATCGTCCAGGTTGCCGGTGCAAGAACTCCAACACGGTCTATTGTAAACTGGAGAGCTGCCCCTCCCGGGGTCAGGGCAAGCCCTCATGATTTTTGGAGGGAGGTTTACTTCTTCCAACTTCAGTTTTTCAGGTTGTAGCTGATTGATATCCACCCCACCCCCCCATTGGGGGGGGGGGGGCGGGAGGGGGGGGGGGGGGCTGTTCTTTTGCTTTCCTTTCTGTCTCCCCAACTTCAAATACACATGTTCTTCCCCTTGCATCTTTGCTCTCCTCTTCCTATTGACTTGGCTGAGTGTGGAGCGTTTTTACGTAGTCGTTGCTGCTCTTTGGTAAGTGTGGACCTGGTATCTGCATCTGCCGCTCACTTTGGCAGGGTCGTTTGAGTTTGTAACTGAACCACTCCCGAAAGAGACAGTGAGGGCTCACTGGGCTCTTGAAGCTTCTTGCTCTGTGAATATCTTCCCAAAGATGTTTTTCATTCTCAGCAATTTTTTTTTTTTTTTTTCCCCCCTTAACCCCTCCTGGGTAAAGGGAAAGAATAACTTTCATGAGTGAGCTGAATTGTGAAATAACTTTTGGTGTGTGTTCTTTGTGGAGAGGGATGTAAAATAAAGGCTTTACCAAATGAAAGGCCTGACTCTTCCATAAGCAGCCTGGGTTTTTTTTTGGGGGGGGGGAGGTGGTTTTTTTTGGTCTTAACTTTTGGAACATTCTCAGTCCTGAGAATCACCCTGCCTCCTTTTTTTTTTTTTTACATTTTCAATGTAACTACCGTTTTTGCTACACTATGTAGATCTTCACATTGGAGACATTATGGCTGCAACGTACTCATTTGTTTCTTTTGCTGTCAAACCTTTGAAGGATATTGCTCACTCCACCCTCCTACTCCTGTTTTTATAGTCTATCAGTATCAGTTGATGTTAAAGTTGGTGGTGTTCATATATCCAAACAGCCTTCAGGTGTCATTGAGTCACCTAAACCTTCTTGAATCCTTAAAGTTTCCTGCGATCCTTTGGTTTAGTGAATTTAGCTCTGCTCTGTACTTTATAATTTTATTCTGTCCCTGTTTTATTGCCTTAGCCACAAATTGTGGTCCTTTTTTGTATATTTTATGTATAAAACACAAAGTTGAATCCCAACTATTTTTAAGACAAAAGTCTGTTAAAACTTTTTTTATTGTAAAGAATATTTATTACGTGAATCTCTATTATTTTATGATATTTATTGCAAAAGACTTTGAAAATGTACTCGTCTGAATATAACAAAATATCAATACTTAACGAAATAAGGATGACACGAAGAAAGTACATATGTTAACTATAATGCAGAAAATATATTAATTAATGAAAACGGCTCTCGAGTTCTTTTGTTATAATGACAGGTTGTGAGCTACATACGCATATTGCTGGGTTGTTGGGGTTTCTCCTGCTTGCTGTCCGTCCAGTAGCAGATAACTGCCTATTGATACTTCAAAGCCACTAGTCTGTGCTCTAGTTTAGTTTACCTGATTTTAAGTTTGCTAACTATATATCAGCTAAGTTTTTGCTAAGGGATATTTAACACAATTGAATGTATACGTTGCGCTTAACGGTGACAAGAAACGTAGGCCCTATTTATTTACCAGAGCATTTGGAAATACAGTTGTGGAGGAGGAAACCGTAACTTCAAGTTTTTCTGTTTCCTGAAGAATAACAAATTAACATGTAAACCTATTTTAAATTTTCCTATATGTTGCTTCTTGGCTGGTTAAATTGTAAGTCAGCTGAAGTAATGAATCTACCAAGCTCAAGTCTAAATAAAAAGCAAGAGGCAGGATAAAAAAAATAACGGTTGTATTGCTGTAGTTTGCTAGCTTTGAAATTTGGGGGGTGGGGTGGGGGTGTTTGTGCCTACGTCTACGGCTTGTTTGGTTCTTTTCCCATACATTTTCCCAATGTCAACTGAATCTATCTTCTGTCTTTAAATTAAAGGCTCTTAAGGGTGACCTAAGTGTCACGGCTACTTGTGGCCATTTAACACATATTCAACAAAAAAGCTTTTCATTAAGAGTGAATGGGGAAACCTCATTCTTCTGTTGGTGCAGGTCAAGGCTAACATCACAATTCTTCTAAAGGAAAAAGTTTATTAAATGGATGTAATTTCACATGGTAGTCGGAGTAAGTGGTTCTAGAGAAGCTCCACATTAAGAACGCAGTAATAACTTGACAAATGTGTCCTATCTTGGGTTTTGAAGTCCTGCTGCTTTGAGTTGCCATATTCAAGCTGTTCTGACTCCTAGCATATTGAAGATTTGCATAAGCTCGGCTTTTGTAGTTAACTCCGTCAAAGCTGATCCAGTGTCATATAACGAGCTGACTGAAAAGTTGCATTCTTTATTAAATGGCACGGATGACTTCTGTGAGGTATAAAGTGAAATCATCGCCTGGCTACATCTAGGAAACCGCTCGCTTTGCAGTATACGGTCGGTGATAACTGCTCTCCCTGCCTCAGCGTGACAGAATTGACAGGCTGGTGGGGCAGCGGTGGATGTATATGAAGTCTGCTTTCCAAGATTTATTCTTCATGAGATGAAGCAAAGCCAAGAGAATAATGTTTCTGAGGAGCGGGTGACTTGCTTTGCACCACTTCCCTCTCGCCGATGCTTCTCCAACAGTGACAGCTGCAAACAGCCCTTGGGAGACAATGAAATCCTTGTCAAATGGTCACCGTTGGTCAGATACGACCGTTCTTTAAGACTGCATACTGACACTCAAAAATACCGAGCCAACTGCCTTTTCGTAACTGGATACAGTCCAGCTCTGTGTTGAGTAAGTTTGCTCGAAGGGTGTTAGTTACTCCTCTTCAAGAAAAACGTTGTACTGTGTACCTCTGTCTCTATTTTTTCAGCCAGGTGACTGATGGGGGGTTTGGTTTGGTTTGGTTTGGTTCCTAGCAGAAGAGAAGAAAGACCAAAGGACCCACGTGTGCTCTGTCTTTTAATGATTATCTTCCATCAGGAGCTATGTCACAGCATTATATCGTATTTCTTTAAAAAAAAAAATCAACAAAACTTATGCTCTAGTTAGTCACACTAACTAATGCTCCCTTTACTAAGTAAACTTTGGGAATAACTTCAGATTGCAGTTCCTTAGGAGGAAAATTGACTCGGACCTACACAGCAATGAGAAGATGTTCCTTGTATGTCTTAAATGGTGTTCTAATTCCCAGGCGTTACCTAGAGAAGGCGGTGTTAAAGCAATGAGAATAATAGGGTTTTTTCTTGGGTTAGATGCTGTATGGTTTGTACTTAATCTACATCTGTATATTTGAGTTCGCTTTCAGGTCCTCTGGAACGTAGGGTTGTTGCCTTATGCTACGGAAATGACTGTGACTTCTTTCAGGCAGACAGATTTTGTGGTGTGGAGCCACACAGGATTGCATGAGAGCCAATGAATGTCTTTTTAGCGGAAAAAAGTTGAGCAAGCGGACAGATGTATGAAGTAAGCCTCCGCAGCTTGAAGAGACAGAAGTTATTTTAAATGTGCCCTAAGCGATCGGTCATGATAATCTGTTCTACTTTCTACAATATAGCAACTGGAATGACCATCTAGAGATACTGTATTTTGTTGTAAGGGGGTTTGCTAAAGGCTAATGAGATTTCTGGTGATTAGGAGACTGAAGTGCCGATTTCAGTTCTTCAACCCAAAATTTGTCCGTGGGCTGCTCAGGTTACTTTCTCCACGTCTTTAGAGTGCCAGACTGTCAGAAGTCCATTACAATGTAGAGCATGAAAATTATTTCTTAACCGTTTTCAGATAGCTTTGAGATCTAATTTTGAAAAATGAAGAGAAGTCTGTATAAAATGATTGTGTAATTAGGCGGTAAGTTCAGCTGACCTACTAACCTAATTGTATAGGTTGGTGATGGATTTGAACAAGCCTGCCATCTGGTTATACACAGCAGAGTCCCGAAACACGTTGCGTAAGGTCTGGGATGAAGGAAAAAGGGGAGGCCCTCCAGCAAGCTGGAAATCAAGTCTTGGTTTGCTTAGTGTCTTGAAACTCGTGGTAAGAGATGAGTTTTGGAAACAGATGGTAAATAAGCTTCCACGTTCCCTGCTGGAGGAATACGTTGCTAGGGTGAGAATTTGAGAGTTGGGGTGTTTCTCTCAAGACGGCTTCATTACGCTAATGCTAGTGTGGGTGATAGCGTTATCCGAGGGGGGATAATGCTTAACAAATGAAAAGTACTTGCTCTTATTTATGGTTCCATATCATAAAGACAGGTGGGAGAGGATTAGCTCCTCTGTCTGTGATAAAGCAAATCTGTTAAGAGGGATTAAAAGGGCTAGATGAAATGTTTTAATGGACTTATATGAAGTAATAGATTTTTGTCCTGGAGGAATGTTCAAGACTCACTGATACTTCTGTATTTCTTGTTCTACTAAAATTACCTCCAAATTCTAAGGAATCCTGATTAGTTGTTGGCTTTCTTCCAGCTGGAGCATTTGTGTCAGTCATGGTGGTGCTTCAAAAAAACCCAGAATAAAATTTTGTTCTGCTATCCCACAGCTGGATTTACCCACCTTACACAGTGCATGGGTTGCACAGGTTTTGTTCTGATTAGCCTTCGTCAGCGGGCAAGGTGCTTTTAGGGTAGCTCTTAATCATTTTTACTTCCTCGCTGTGGCTGGTTTTCACCTTTCTTTCGCTGATGGGAGTAGCCAAGGCATGGCTTCTACCCTTGGCATTAGTTACCTAGCCACGTGGGGCCTGTGTTAACAAGCTTTATACTTAGTGGAAGGATCTATTAAAAAAACTTCTAAGCTACCCAGAAAGTTTCCTTCAGCATGTTTTGCTTCCACGTTGGAGCATGGACTTGGGCTGTCACCAGGACCGCTGCCCCACTGGCCTGTGGGGGGATGAGGATGGTCTGTGAGTTGGGCAGCAAGCACAGCCCACAGATCAGCTTTCTGGTGCCGCCTCAGCATTTAAAAATCCCAGCACAGAGTTAGTCGGGCTCTTTGTGCACCCTTGCGCTGTGAACACTCACTCGCTGCAAGTTGAGAGCTCTGGCAGCGCACGTCCCCGCCACCAACCACGGTGCAAA